CTTTGGAAGATCCACCAATTCCCAAGTTTGATTTTTGTGAAGAGCATTAATCTCCTCCTTCATGGCATCTGTCCATTCAGGGCATTTTAAGGCTTTTGCAACATTTCTGGGAACAGGGATGCAATCAACTGCAGATAAGAAGGCTCGGTATGAGGGGGAAATGTGATCATAGGAGACGAAATGGGTAATGGGGTGTTTGGTAGTGCATGACCCGACTCCCTTTCGTTGAGCAATAGGAATGTCAAGGTCATCCACAGTGGGAGTAGGGGTATCAATAGGTGCAACAGGGATTGGACTTACCTCCTGGGAGTCTAATGGTGTTGGTTGCTCTGTGTTTGGATGCTCCACATCTCTATCACATCGCTGATCTCTACGACGTGTACGTTGGAAGACACGGAAGGGAGTAAGGTTCGAAATAGAAGGAAGAGATACCTGWACCTGCTTCTCCTCTTCCACACTACTACTCTCCCCCTGAGGAGAAGCAGGGAAGAATGGCTCAGACTCAAAGAATGACACATCCATAGACACATAAAACTTACGAGTAACGGGATCAAAGCACCGGTACCCTTTTTGAGAGGAGGGATACCCTAGAAAGACACAAGGAATGGACCGAGGGTCTAACTTACCTCGAGATGGAGACAAATCATGGATAAAGGCACGACAACCAAAGACTCTCATGGGAATGGAAAATAAAGGAGACTGAGAGTACAATAACTGATGAGGGGCCATGTAGTTCAGCACTTTGGAAGGCATGCGATTGATGACATAATCAGTTGCAAGTATAGCATCCACCCAAAACCTTTTTGGAACATTCATATGTAGCATCATCCCGCGAGCTACCTCGAGGAGGTATCTATTTTTTCTTTCTACAACACCATTTTGTTGTGGTGTTCTGGCGCATGAGCTCCTATGAATGGATCCGTGGGAGACAAAGAACTTATTGAGCTCCCCATGGAAGTATTCTTTTGCATTGTCGGATTGAAAGATCTGTATTTCAACATGGAATTGCGTAAATACCATCCTCTAGAAGTCCCTCACAATCTTTGGAACTTCGTCTCTACTACGCATAGGAATTACCCATGTATAGCGAGAGTAATCATCGATCAATGTGATAAAGTACTTATATCCGCCCTYAGAGATTACATTGGTAGGCCCCCATACATCAGAATACACAACATGAAAAGGAACATTTGATCTTTTATTACTTGAGTGAAAAGTTGTTCTACATTGTTTGCTCAACTGACACGTTTGACACTAGAACTTTGACACTGAACATGACTTAAATAAAACCGGAAACAAAGACTTTATTATTTTGAAAGAAACATGACCCAAACGACTATGCCACAAAAAAAATTCTTATTTGACTGACTATGTGACTCTGAGGATGACACCGAGAAACCAGCTTTGTTGTCGAGAATGTAGAGTCCATCCACTAGGCTCCCTCTACCAATCGTCCTCCTAGAAGTTAGGTCCTGAAAAACACACGAGTCAACAAAAAAGGTTACACTACAGTTTAAAGAGCTTGTAATGCTACTAATTGAAAGCAAATTTATAGGAAGTTGAGGGACATGCAATACACAACTCAGGTTAAGGCCATGGGGAAGGGATATTGATCCTTGGCCTGCAATGGAGGAAAAAGAACCATCTGCAAGTTTCACTCTTTCCCTTCCTAACAAAAGACTATAAGTCTGAAACAAGTTCGGCTTACCGGTCATGTGGTTGGAGGCCCCTGAGTCAATGATCCAAGGGAAATCCGTGGGAGTGACATGGAATGCAGAAGCCGTATTACCTGAAGTAGATGCGAATGAAGTAGATGGAGTATCAGTGACTGAGCTGTCCATTTGTCGCAAAGCCCTACCATAAGATGCCAGGTGCTCTCTGAAGGAATTCATTATATCTTCCTTGGGGTCAAACTTATTAGGGGCGTCCCGGGTACTACCGGCAACCTGAGTATCTTGGGTTGCCACATGTGCTGCATTCTGTGTTGTGTTCATCTTCTTCTGACCTTGACTTTTACCTTGTTCTTGATTCTTCACTACCCACATGGGTTTCCCGTGGATGTCCCAACAA